CCTAAGAACAACAAGCAGCTAGCAGCGGGGATAGGGATCACCTGAGCCAACGTCATGAAGTCCAATCCTAGAACGACATCAAAGTCATCCATGGGGGAGACTGTGAAGTCTACCTTCCCTTCCCATGGCCCCAATTGGGTTGTCACACTTTTCGAGCTTCCACTGATTGCAAAGGCTGGCGAATTGACCGCCTTCATTCGCCCACAGTCTTTACTAATCTGAAGACCACACCTTTTTGCTTCTTCTGGTGTGATGAAAGTGTCGGTTGCACCTGTATCCACCATGGCCTTGGTGGCTTTCCCATTGATCGTCAAGTTCACGTACATCAAGCCTCTGCTTTGCTCTTTCTTTATAGTGTTCAATTGGGTGCGAAGGGCACTGAGGAACCTTATTGAGCCCATCCTGGCTGGCTCCTCTTCAGCTTCTTCAACGCTCTCGGGCACTTTTGCAGACTCTTGGGATGAGGTCCTTAAGGCATTAAGGGCTCCTCGGTGCGGGCACTCAGCCACTCGATGCGGCCCCTTGCAAAGAAAGCAAGCAAGCGGTTGCCTAGGCTTGAAATCCCTGCGTTGTTTGTCCTAGGCTGGGTGCTATCTCGCCCAAAGGACCTCCTGTCTGATCCCCAACTGAAGGGTCGGTCCAACCTAGTTATCTTTCCCCCACTCCCAAGATTAGAGCTACTGCCAGTTGGTGGAGGGTTCTTCCGTTTTAACGAACCATCATTAAAATCATGAAGACGTTCCGCTGCAGCCATGGCCGTCGTCACATCTTGCACTCTTTGCCTCTGTAGCTCTGTCCTCGCCCACGGCTTGAGGCCCTCAATAAAATGGAATAACTTGTCCTTTTCGGACATGTCCCTAATATCCAGCATCAGGGTAGAAAAGTTCCTCACGAACTCTCGCACCGTTCCGGTTTGCACCAACTCTCGAAGTCTCTTTCGAGCCATATAATCCACATTCTCCGGAAAAAACTGGTTTTTCAGTTCACGCTTCAGATCCGTCCAGTCTTAATCGGGCACTCGTCATCGACAAACTTGGAGCGCCACCACAACTTGGCATCCCCTACGAGTACATCGATGCCATTGTCACCTTGTCTTCCTCTGAACTTGTGTGTACAGCTCGGAAGTATTGTTCCATGTCGAACAGGAAATTCTCAAGTTCCTTAGCATCCCTTGCCCCCTCATAGCACCGAGGCTCCGGCACTTTGGGCCTTTGTCCCCTGTCCGTCGAGCTGAACCGAACTGGCCACCGCCATTTGTAGGATGCTCATCTGGGCCCTGAGCTCCTCAAACTCCTTGTGGAGAATGTTCAAGGCATCTCTAGCCTCTTCGCTCACATTGTGGAGAGTATCGGACAACTCCCGCTGGGTTGTCTCGATCTCCCTCACTCGATCTTTTGTACCATATGAGTTTTCATTGCGGCCACCGCGGCCTCAAGTTCCTCAATTCTCTGCTGATGATCCGGTCCACCACTTGTGGCCATCTCATCCATTTCTCTAGCACTTCTCAACCGTGCTCTGATACCACGTGTCACGGACTAAGCTTTCTCTCAACAAGCACTAGCCCGCGTGGCACTTGAATGGACGCTTCCACCCAAGTCAGCCCTCAATAGATCGAGATCTGAACAAATAACCATAAACCATGGTTAGTCTCAAGCATTCACAATAAGGCACAATATATCAATATCAATCTCATCCATACACACAACAAGGCACATTCACATCGAGAAAGAAAAGAAACACATCGAGGCAACAATCGGGCATTCAATCGAGGGAATTTCATTAAAATCGGGAATCATACATCATGACTCCACCATCCCAGGGTCATGGCAGTGGTGCCTAAGCTCGCATAGTACCGTGTTGAGAAAGTCCCAACAATAACCTGTCGGCTCACCTAAAAAGCTTAGAGATTTAGAGCATTGCTGCCAGTAAGCCGTTACAATGTTGAAATGGGGACACTTTTCCTAACACAAGCCCTACGCATGGCCTATACATGAGTAGCTCTGCAACTCTAAATCCGATCAAGCTTAATACATGATCATGACACCAAGCCATGTCAACCTAAGACCCGACTACCTGCCTGGCCTTTTCAGCCTGACCACACCTCTTGGAAGATGATCCATTACACCATCTTTTCTTGCTTCATTATTATTATTTTTTTAGTACTGTTGAAGTACAAATGTTAAAAATAATTTTAATTTTTGCTTCTAACCGACTTCCAATAAGATCTTTTATACCAAGTTTGATAATAGAGTATAATCAATTAAATTTAAGTTGGTATAAAATTAAATTTGAGTTTGAATTTACTTTCAAAATTTAAAATTTGATTTGAATTTAATCAAATTTTATTTTTTAATTTGAGTTCGATTCGAATTAAAAATTAAATTATTTGAGCTTATTTAATTAAACTTGATTAATATATAAAAATAAATTTAATTTTTATATTCAATAAAAATTTACTTATTTATTTTTCAATTTGAATTTGAATTCGAAATATTTTATTAATTAAAATAATAAAAATATATTAAAAATAAAAAGTTCAATTAGACTTTTAAAATTTTCAAACTGTGTATAAAAATATCTGAATTCGATTCAATCGATAAATTAAATTATTTGAGTTTAAATTCGATTTGATAATAACTAAACTAAATTTAAATTTTATTCAAACCAAATCCAAATAATTTATAAATACTAATGAATTATTTACATTTCTATTTAACACAAATATTTTAAGGCATAAGGGGCCACTTTTTATTTTTCTAAGTTCGGAATGGCAACAATATCAAGCATTTTGTGAAAAATGCGACACCAGAATCATCTGTTTTTATTTGTTGTTATCCCCTTTCTCTATTTCTTTCCTTGGCTGGCAATGTAAAAGGTCTCCTGCTTTTAGCAATCAACTCCTTATTGTTTTTCCAGGCTCTGGGGCAATACTATAAACATAAGGGGACAAGTTTCAGAAACTGTCTTAAAAAACCAATAATAAATAAACAAATAATTATGTAAAAAAGAATATATAACTATTATTGCTGTCGTTTTCTTTCTTCCTAAGAAATCCGAACAAAACTTTTTTTTTTCCCTTTCAAATCCGTTTCACATGCAGTTTTGTTTCCTCTTATATTTCATCGGGGTCAATGTAACATGTTACATTTAATAATGAGGCCAACAAAAACCGAACAGGATCATGTGATTTGTTGGAGACTTGGAGTATCTGCTAAGTCAAATCAATGAAGATTATGAAAATAATGTTCATATAAATTAATGTAGTAACAAAAATAGATCCATTCCTCCTATATTTATTCATGAGCTTAATTAAATTTAGTGTAAATGATATATTAGCACTTATAAATTATTCAGACTTAATTCAAATAAAATTTAATTTTAATTTAATTATTATTGAGTCAAGTTCGAATTTGAATAACTTGATTTATTAATCAAATCGAATTTAAATATTTTTATACTCAGTTTAAGTGAGTCGCAAGTTTAATCAAAATTTTATATTTTAATATATATTTTATTATTTTAATTAATAAAATATCTTGAATTCAAATTCAAGTTTGAGCACAAATAATTAAATTTTTGTTAAATATAAGAATCGAGTTTATTTTTATATGTTAATCAAACATAATTAAATGAGCTTAAATAATTCTATTTTTATTTTGAATTGAATTTGAATTAAAAAAATAAATTTTGATTGAACTCGAGTCGAATTTTTTATCTCAAATTTAGAATTGAACTCGAGCTCAAATTTAATATTATATTAGTTCAAATTCAATTAATTACATCATTAAGTTGAGTTCTAAACATGAGTTTTGAAATTCGGATTTGAATCAAAATTTTATTTCATAAATAAAATGTATGTTTTTATTTAATTTTAATTTAAAATATATTTAAAAACAATAAAATTTTTTATTTTTAAAAATTTCGAATCCTTTGAATTTCGAGGAATCCAATTAAGTCAATCCTTAGATCCGACCCAACCTATGATTGTTAGCTAAGCAAGGACATTTTGTCTTATTAATGTTGTTAAATGTTAAGCTTTGTTTTAATTAAGTACCCTGTCCAAGGGGCTAAGTCCAAATTAAACAAACCTTTCACTTGGGACAAAATCATCTGCATTAGGCTATACACCAAACTCAACAACCATAGGAAAATTGCAGCATATTCTTATTGAACAGCAAGATCACACATTTTACAGATTTCTTTAAAAAAAGAAGAAAAATAAAAAAAAATGCATAGATATTAAGTAAAAAAAAAAAACTAAAGAAATGAGAAGGAATTAACCTATAAAACCCAACGAATGCATAAAAAAACAAATGGTGACAAAGTTAAGCTCTAACAAGAACATTTAATTTAAATGGGGGGAAAAAAGTAATGTAATTTCTCATTGGTAGCTGCAAAATAAATAAACCAATTATATATTTTGGTATATATTAAAAGGATAAAAATTAAAAACCAACTTAATTACTTAGCGAACTTAATTTTTAGTTCAATTAAATTATATTAATCATTTAAAAAAAATAATATTTTATGAAATTAAAATTAAAATTAAAATTAAAAGCATATATAAATTTAATGATCGAATTTGATCTACACAATAACAAATATTACATAGATATTAAATCTATGACTAGAAGCATCCCATTGTTAATTATAACAAAATCAAGAAAAAAATAGTGGGTATTGCATGAATTAAAGGCTGAATTTTTTACATTCAAATATTTCCCTATATTAATAAGCATAATAATAATAATAATAAAAAGAAAATCACGAACATTATGCATGTATTTACTATTTACTGTTTAGGGAAAAACTGATTTAACAGATACGTTAGTAAGATTACCTGAAAATTACTGTCTCCAACTACCACCAGAAAAAGTAATTTACCACTTCTTTGATTTGCACGAGAGAATATTCCAAATTCCTTGACGCGTAAAGTAATCAAATTCAACCACTCGCGTCAAAGGCACGTGCCGTTACTCGCGACCGAGTCCTATTTATCGGCCTCGCTTCCTCCATCTCCAGCACTTCTAGCCCTCATCAAAGTCAGGTCCTGTTTCGCGTTTCCAACTTCGCTGCTTCTCTTTTTGAAAAAAGAAACACCCGAAAGTTAGCGCATCGTTAAGCTGGACTTTTTTCTTGTGATCAGATCAAAGCAATCTCAACCGTCGGATTAACCCATCCAATTTTTTTCTCTCGAGAAACCCTTCTCTTCCTTTATATAAGCCCTCGGCTTTTCTCGCATTCTCATCGGATTATTTCATTCTTCTTTAGATTTGGAAGTCGAAGTTCTCTCTATAGCCTTTTTCATCTGTCGTTCTTTAGCCGACGGATTTTGATTTTCCTGCCAAAATTCCGGTCCGGTAAGTTTCTGAATTCATGGCTTCTTTATTTTTTTTAAAAGATTGTACGTTTTTAGAATGAGTTTTTTTATTTGTTTTTCATTGTTTGTTAAAATTTCAAGCTTGAGTTTTTTTAATAAACTATATTTTATGCTGTTTGTTTGGTGGAGAAATTTATTAAAAAGAAAAGCGGATAAGGTTTTGGATTTTGATCGATTGATTTGACTTCCGTTTAAATTCTTTTCTTTTTCAAAGTTTTTCATGACTCTCTCTAAACGGATTCTTACTTGAAAAAAAAAAAAAAACTACATTATTGGCTTTCGCGTTGGTTTTCTCAGCTACGAAAGAAAAGATTTATGATTAAATTGTAATTATTTCCTTATTTTTTTATTTTCAGAACAATTTCGATAATTGTTGTGAAATTTTAGGGTTTTATCTTATTCATAGTTGTTGAAACTTTCCTTTTAGACTGAGATCTGTTGATTTAGCTTCCATCTTTTTTCCCCTTTGTTTCTAATATTATATTTCTTTTGATTTCTAATTGATGTTGTGAATGAATATGCAGGTTTACAATGGTTTTGCAGAGAGAACATAGTAAAGCGTAGACGTCTTAGTCTAGCAACTGTCTTTTTGTTTCTTTTTCTTTTTCTTTTTTTCCAATAAATGGGCTGCTTTCAATCTAAAGGAACAAGACAATACCCCGGATACGAAGACCCTATTACTCTCGCTTCACAAACTGCTTGTAAGTTTGCAAATTGTTACAACTTTTTGTTCATTGCGTGTACCCAATTGTCTGATTGGTTTCATGAGGTGAAACCTTAATGCTTTGAGAAGGCAATTTATTTTGGGGTTTTCAACCATTGGTCTAGAAACATGGATTTGTAACCAATTAAGTAGGAAAATTTCCAAATTATTCTTGGTTTTGTTTTTTGATAATCTAGGAATTTTTCCTGAAAGACTTGAATGATTTCAATCAGCTTGGAATAGATTATTTAGTTTGCTTTGTATTTTGGCTAGTAATTGTTTAGTTTGCTAACCATGCCTATTTTTATTCTGCCAATTTGACTATTAGGTTGTTGTTCCTTGCATCTGCAGTTAGTGTTAGTGAAGTTGAAGCACTCTTTGAGCTATATAAGAGCATCAGCAGTTCTGTGATTGATGATGGGCTGATTAGCAAGGTAAAGTTCTGGGCTTCCTCTGTATCAACCAGGGATTTTTTTACTTTTCTTTAATGTGGTTTAAATTAGGATTATCACATTTGATGTCATGTGTGAGTTTGTGATCTGTTGCATGGTTCTCTTTACTTTGCTTTTTGTTTGTCTTCCTTCCTCCCTGCTTCCTTGAGAATTTTTTTTCCTTACTGTTCTTTTTCTGTCAAATTTGAAAATTGCATGCACAATTTAATGCCCATCTAACTTTTCTGTTGCATATGCAGGAAGAGTTTCAGTTAGCTCTGTTTAAGAATCGAAAGAAGGAAAACATTTTTGCAAATCGGGTAATATATTTTGTTGCTTTTTATTTTTATGGGAAATTAAATATTACTTTAAGTTTCGAGTTTCATTTTGCTTTGTCTCAATTATGTTTCATGGGCATGTGATGTGCTAGCAATGGGCGATCTGGCTGCATGATTATCTATAGAGTTGAAGTTTGCTTTGAGGGCATGTTGTCAAATTTATCTTGTAGAAATATTATGTATAAAATTCAAATGCTTTATGAGAGATGTCTCTCAGTCCAATCATTACATGCATGATTTAAGAAATCAAGTTTCTTTTATTTGTACAGTTATAATGCTGTTTTGTTATGAGTAAAATGTGGCACATTTCTCCAACATTGTTTTTTTATAGTCGTTATATTCTTTCTTTTGAGCAGGCATTGGCATACATACCTTAATGTACAATTGGTTTTTATGGGATGTTAATAATATCAACCAAAACATTTTCCATCCTTTTTAACATCCTAGATCAAAGTCTTTTAGATTTCTTGCCCAAGTTGGTGTAGATCATTTTACTTGGTCTCAATTTCCTTCTGTAAACATGAATTCAGTACCAATATGAGAGTTATGAATTGGGTCTTCTGGGGAACAATTTAAAGATTTGAATTAGTTTACTTATGCAACAATCTGATACATGCAGATCTTTGATTTATTTGACGCAAAGAAGAAGGGAGTCATTGATTTTGGTGACTTTGTTCGAGCACTCAATGTCTTCCATCCAAATGTATCACAAGAGGACAAGATGGATTGTAAGTAGACAGTTGATATAATTATCTTGAATTGCATAGATTGCGTTAATCTTTCATTTCATTTTTAAGTTGGTGGTTTTATTTTGCAGTTGCATTTAAACTTTATGACATGGATGGAACGGGCTTTATTGAGCGTAATGAGGTATTTAGGCCTTATATGTTTGTTATTTATATATCATAATATTATCTGGATTTATATTTTGATTCAGTTGCATTATTTCGAGTGGAACTGGTTTTAAAGATTACAGATTGCTGCATATCATCCATACTCATATTTTGATTCAGTTAAATTTTTGCACAAACCTCTTTGCAGGCATCTTTATCTTATGTGATTTTGGCAGGTCAAGCAAATGCTGATTGCGCTTTTATGTGAATCTGAAATGAAGTTAGCTGATGAAACCATTGAGGCAATTCTTGATAAGGTGAGAGCTTGTTGTGGTATGGTTGCATAAAGTGTTTATGATACTGTTGGACATTATCAAACATATTTGCCAATCTTTTTGAATCAATAGTTCCCTAAATCTTTCTGGTGAACCAGAATTTCAGTAGTCATACGTAATATTAATATTTGTGTGGTAACTCTTTGATGGGATTTTACTTAATTTGCAACTTTTTACCGAGCCATGGGGATTTGTGAACAGACATTCTTGGATGCCGACATTAATCAAGATGGAAAGATAGATATGTCTGAATGGCAAAACTTTGTCTCCCGTAATCCATCATTGTTGAAAATCATGACCCTTCCATACCTCAGGTATGTGTTACCAATGTTATCCCCAGCTAACATTGAAACCTTACTCATCCGGAAGCTCATTCATTTTGGTATATGAATCATGCAGGGACATTACAACAACATTTCCAAGCTTTGTATTTAATTCTGAAGTAGATGAGGTTGCCACATGACTGGGGAGTACATGCTCGGCTTACCATGTTCATGCAATGGGTTGAAAGACATTTTTTACATGGTTAGTTGACATTGAGCGTCTTGACGTTAAGAAAGTTTTCTTGGATTTTCTTGTAAGGCTAAAGCTATCAAGTTTGCAAAGGGTGGCCAGCTAAAATATAATTAGGATTGCTGGTTGATTGTATAGGATTCTAATTAACCTTTTCAGGTTTTCGCTGTTTTTAATCACTGATTTGTAGTGAGGCAAATTTTCAGTCCAGGGTTAGATTTGTTTCTATTGGATGGATTGCTCGAATACTGGCTTTTAACACATTAGTAATTACATGGATCTAAGAAACAAGGAGGATCAGAGGAAGTAAAAAATTAGGATAGGTTGTGGGGTAAGGGTGTAATTAAGTCGATAAGCTGGTAAGCTTGAGTTAGATTCGAAAATACTAGTAAGCTTGAGTTTGATTCGAAAATTTGAGATTTGAAGTTTGATTTGAGCAAGTTTTACTAAATTGTTTTTGAATTGAAAACTTGAGGTACGAAGTTGGACTTGAGCAAATTTTATTTTTTATATTTTTTGAATTTGATTTGTAATTTAATTGAGATATGAATCTAATTTGATAAGTTTGATAAACTTATAAACATTGAAATTATATATTATGTTTTTATTATTTATTTATATATTAAAAAATAAAAAATCAATTAAATTTGTAAATTTTTGAAGTTAATAGAATTTGGTTTGATTCGTAGTTTGATTTACTTAAGATCGAGCATGGCTTGAGTTCATGAGTTTTTTGAATAAACCAGAATAGCTCACATCTCCTGGGGGGGTTTGTTTACTTGTTTAACAGTTTATATTTTGCTTCTGAGAGTACGTTTGGCATGAATTTTACACTTAAAGTTTTTTGGAAAAATGGTTACTTGTTGATGTTTCCTTCAGCCGTCTTTTGAACCTGGGTTTTGGACGCAACCTTACGTTTCTCATTGCGATTAGGGTATAATCGAGTTGATACAGTAAAAAATTCGAGTTTCAGTTCAGTTCTCAATTCGAGATTTGATATTCGATTTGAACTCAATCGAATTTTATTTTTTTAATTCAAATTTGATTCGTGATTAAAATCGAGTTATTCGAATTTATTAGATTAAGTTAGATTAATATGTTAAAATAAACTCGATTTTTATATTCAATAAGAGTTTGATTATTTATATTCGAATTCGAAATATTTTATTAATTAAAATAATAAAAAAAATTAAATATAAAAATTCGATTAGATTCATGAGTTACTCGAGTTAGATATAAAAATTTTTAAATTCAATTCGATCGATAAATTGAATTATTCGAACTCGAATGCGATTCGATAATAATTAAATTGAATTTAAATTTTATTTAAATTCAAATAATTTATAAATATTAATATATTATTTACATTTTTAGCTATGAGTGAACTATAACACTTTTAGCTGAACTATAGCACTTTTAGCTGTGAGTGAACTATAATATTTATATTGATTTTGGGGCGCAACCTGGGTTCAAGCGTGTAAGAACCTCGTGAAGATGAAATATGAAAAGGAAAAGAAAAAGGCTTCTGTAAATGGGGCTAAGAAAATTTTCAATTATCTGGACAACCAGATTGAACGTAAAAGGCCCAAGGCAAAATAGTAGGCTATAAAAGCATGCCAGTCCAAATCAGAAATTAAACCCTTTTTAAACGGAATACAAATGCAAGAGCTCCAATACTCCTTCAGGCCTAATCTGTCCCAATATGCAAGTAAAAAGCCTAAGAAAGATGTATTTACCGTGATAAGCTGTCAACTCGCTTGATTTTCACCTACTCACCTTCTCATTAGGCTTTTGAAGTCGAATTTTTTTTAAGAAGATAAAAAATATGTAAATGTTAAAATTTAAAATTTAAAATTTAAATATATTTTAAAAATAATTATATAAATTAATTAAATTAAATTTAAAATTTTAAAATTATAATTAATGACTGGCACTATATCTTTTTGAGTTAATTATATTCATTATGATTTATTTTGACCCTAAACCAATCTTGAAAAGATAGTTCTACTTTGGATCATTTGCACAGTTGATGCGATAAATTTAACAAATTTCAATAGAATGTTAAAACATGCAAATAATTATTTTTTTATATAATACTCTATTTTTAAATAATAAAAATGAAAATTTAAATACTTGAACTTAAAATTTATCTATCAATCTTTTATAGTGATAATGATAATAAATATCTATCATTGGATTATTTCATTGGCTGTTGTTGTTATCAATCTCAACTAAAAGATAGTAACATTTTTTGAAAGAAATTTGAAATTTCATTATTTAATAAATTCCAAAACCTTAATTCTTTATTTTTTTTTAAAAATTTATAGTAAAAAATATCTTTAACATGCGACAAGCAATCACGCCGAATACATGCCCCCACCTTTAAAACCAAACCAAAGCTATCCCCGCCGATTTATCGGCCAGCTCGCCGGAACCTTCAAATTCTCTTCCGATTTTAACCTTTTCTCTCTCTTAAAATTTCCCACCCATCCTTTTTCTCTCTATCAACCCTGTTTCTTTCTCCACATAGCAAAAATAAGTGAAAGCCCGATAGAATCCAGAGAGAGGAAAATACGAAGACATAAAAATGGGTTAGCTTGTGCGCTTAGCTCCATCTCTCTCTGAAATAAAAAATAAAAACGAAACAAAAAAAAATAGAAAACCCTAGATTTTGAGGGACCAGGGTCATTTGCGTCTTTTCTTGCAATGAATCGGCGATAACAGAAGCGATTAATATCACCGACAAATAAGAAGAAGAGGAGGAGGAGGAGAAGAGATAAGAGAAGATGTATAGAGGGGAGAGAGCGGCCGGTGGGCCCAAGGGAGAGCTGGGGCCAGTGGATCGGAAGCGGATCAACGAGGCGCTTGATAAACAACTGGAGCGATCGTCGCCGTCCACTTCAAGAGCGACCAACGGCAAGGATAAGTCCGCACACTCCCTCCTAATAGGGAAGCATCCACCTGATCATCATCGCGACTCTCGCCCCGTTTCTCTACCCAAAGCAAACGCCTCCGATGGTATAATCATAATCACATCTCCCTCTTTCATTAACGGAATTAGGATTTAATTTAGAAAAATTTTGGACTTTGTCTGTTTCTCATACGAGAAATTCAATTTTTGTTAACTTCATTTAATTTTATATCTAGGTTTAGGCTTGACTATTTTGAAACTGTAATTTTTTTTCATTATTTCAGTGTATTTGATTTCTAATGAAATTAAGTTTGCTAAAAGGTTTTGAAATTTATGTAACTGAAGCTGGAATTAAATGAAATTGTGAAGTTTTATTGTTGTTGATATTAATTTTTTTAAAAACATATAAGTAATGCAAATATTCTGATGCCTACGTTTGATAGATTGTGAGAAAAGATAAAGAGAGCTCAAAGGTTTCTATTGATATGCCCACAATGAAACTTAACTTTGAACTATATATGTTTCTCTAATTCTCTACCTCTAAAGTGGAAAAGGAGACATGTTTTGTTGCAGTAAGGTTCTTAATTTAGATTGTCACAGTGTTTGGTGTGACGAGATTATATGGATATTGGCCAAACCCTGTATTTGTATGAATTAACTTTCCTCAACGTCTGTGCTTATAGCTCAAATGAAGCATTGGCATTGAAATTAAGTTGGTTTTATCTTTTCCTGTTTTTCCTCCCTTTGGAGGGGTTATTCAATTTCCAAAATCAAATCAAATATATATGTTTTATAAACTTCCATATATTCAGTTTTGTAAGATTGTACTTGTATTTATTCATGATTACCATCCAATGATTTTTTTTTTCTTGCTTAACTGATTGCAAAAGTATTGCAAAACTTCTGTTGCTTAATTTTTTTTTTTTCATTTCCTTTATGCTTTTTTAACTGCATTATCTAGTTTTAGTGTTTTTTTTTTTTTCTTGAACCATGTATTGAAAGTGAAGGTTGTTACCTTTTGGTGTGTGGTTACATTGCTTTCCAATTTCATTTGTTATGGACACATGCTGATGCAAATTTTGATTGCATCAGCTGCAGATGAATCTGAAACAGACAGTGAAGAGTCAGATGTTAGTGGTTCTGATGGGGATGACACATCTTGGATCTCATGGTTTTGTAACCTACGTGGAAATGAGTTCTTTTGTGAAGTTGATGATGACTACATACAAGATGATTTTAACCTTTGTGGGTTAAGCAGCCAAGTTCCTTATTATGATTATGCACTTGATTTGATTTTGGACATTGAATCTTCCCACGGTGAGCTTACAGTTTGTTTCTTCTCATTTTAAGTTGTTTAGGATGTGTGAAAGGTTTTTCCATTTTGTTCTTGTTGAAGCCTTTGTGTGCCATTTGTTTATTAGTTTTTGAGAGTATTGGCTTTAGTCTCATTTATGTTCTTTGAAGCAGCTATTTTTGGGATATAGTTCTATCTAATCTGACTGTGCTTAAATATTGAGGATGGAAAATTTTTAAAATTTTTTCTGTATTTGATGTTCTTGATAACACTTCAATTTAAGTGGAACATATCATTTATGTCATCTAGCATGATGTCAAATGTCTTTTTATTTTCTTGCAATGAGTAAATCATATTGGGCTGAAATTGATAGGAGATATGTTTACGGAGGAGCAAAATGAATTAGTTGAATCTGCAGCAGAGATGCTTTATGGTCTGATTCATGCCCGATACATATTGACAAGCAAAGGAATGGCTGCTATGGTGAGATGTTTGTCATGATATTCAATGTGATAGTTTCGTGTTTTCATAGACAGATAAATCGGAGAACTGATTACGTGAATATTTTTTTAAACTTTTACAGCTAGACAAGTACAAGAACTATGATTTTGGAAGATGCCCTAGAGTTTACTGCTGTGGACAACCTTGTCTTCCAGTTGGTCAATCAGATATCCCTCGGTCAAGCACCGTAAAAATATACTGCCCTAGATGTGAAGATATCTACTACCCTCGGTCTAAGTATCAAGGCAGTATCCTTTTGGCCATTGAACTTGTTTGCTACTTCTTGTTGCATGCATTGTGTGGGGAGATAACATGATTGTCATGTTCGTTATAGTTCCTGCATTGGGGTCTTAAGTTTTCTGCTCTCAGCATTTTGCAAACTTCCTACGAATAACCTGTTTCATGGCTAGCTATTTGGAGGGATAACTTAAGATTTCATTTTTTATAAAAGGAAACATGATAACTAGATATAACTGATAATTTATTAAAACAAAAAAGTTTGGATATCGAATTTGCTGTCTGAGATATTGTAATAAAACTCAATGTATGTTTTGTGTCAAAGTACATATAAGAGAGAGAGAGGAGTTTCCATCCTCAGAGTGTAGGTTATTTTCTCCAAAAATGACATTAACATTACTTCTTCCTTGGAGTTGGAGAACCATTTTTGTTATATTATTGGGAGGACCCTGTATGATGATCATACGGATTGAGAATCAATTGGAACAATTCAGTCTTTAGTCAATATGAGGTGGCTATCAGCGTGTACATCTTAGTATAAGTCACATGAATGCCCTGATATATTGTTATATGATCGATGTTTATATTTCCAACGCTTCTGCCTTTGTAAGCTTTGCTTTGAGTACGTAATGAGTTACCTTAATTCTATCTAGACATTGATGGAGCCTATTTTGGGACCACATTTCCAAACCTGTTCCTGATGACGTACGGGCACCTGAAGCCACAAAAAGTATCTCAAAGCTATGTTCCAAGAGTATTTGGGTTCAAAATCCACAAGCCATAATACTGGAATTTAAAGCTCCCTTTTGGGCAATAGTTCTCATGAGTTTGTACTGCCTAGCTTCTATTTTGGAAGTAATGCTTCGAAAGATCAGGTATAGTTCGGTAGTCTTTCAAGTAATCATGTTTTAGGTCCTTTCCTCTATATATGTTCCAAAAGTGACCATAAAGCATATTTGCAACCATCAAGTATTAATTTTCAATTTAGCAGCCTTCGCTGTGGGCTTCTTCATCGGAATTCTTTCTTGGTAGAGTTACTATTAAAGTGCATCTTACCTATACCCTCCGTTGTACTTTATTGATTATTTGATCAGTCTTTGCTCTGTGTATTGCCTTGTTCTCACAGTTTATTATATCCTTTATCATTTAACGGCCGTCACTTCGTGGATCAATTCTCCTATATATTGTAACAAAATGTTTCTTTCTGTAACAATTTGCTCGCCTTTCTAGCTCTTACTTTTGTAACACATTAAAGATTTTTGCCCTCATATTAGTTTTCTCTTATACGTTGGTGAACTTTTTGTGCTTGTCCTCTTATATTGTCTGTTTTAGGTAGTTATTGAGAAGAAGTTGCAGAGACTGAAAATGGAAACGAATGAAATCTTGGATTAAGCTTTTTCATTATGGTGATGTTATTAACTCTTCTCTTTTTCTTTTTGAGTACATGGAGCGAGAGAAAGAGCCATTAGGATTGGAATACAGGAAAGTTATTTGGTATGAAAAAGAAGGAAAAAAAATTAAGGGTATTTTTTATTTTGCCATATCTTTTTCAATTGGGCTTTGATTTTTGACAGTCTAGGCAAGGCTTGGCAATAGACAATGTAATTCCCCAGTAAAAGATTCAATAAGATATAAGAATAAAGAAGGGTCAGTAGTAAGAAGTTTGTTTAGAAGGGGACAGGCTATATTGGGCTTCTAAAGGCTTCTTTCGAACAAATAGGCCCGCTGTCAATGTTTGAGCAACGGTCTTGAATTGGCATTACATAACTGATTTAGAGATTGTTTTTTGATTTTTTGTTTCTTCCCAAAGGACAGAATTAAAGAAATTATATACTTGGAGATTGCTGTCCTAAGAGGCACAAATGCTTGGCAAGGGACAGACCAAGAAATGAAAAGTTAAGCCAATATGTCTTTGACTTCTACTTATTCTTGAATATGGTCCCAACCAGTCTCAAAATCAATGTCTTGTAATGAGCTTAGCTTTGTGCTTATTTGGAATCACTCCATGTTGCAAGCCATTGTGCCTCAGCTCACACACAGAATGAGTGGAGCCTCGATAAAAGCACGTAGGCCAAAAGTGCAGAAGCAATTGAATTGCTTTCTGAAGGCATTGGATTTTTACGCCTTCTCTTAATTCACTTCTCTATTGTAAGGATATTTTCAAATTTTATTTGGATTTAATTTTCGTTCTCGAATAATTTTAAAAACATATTTTCTTACATGAATCTAAATCTTTCCTCAGTACTGAATCCTAAGTGAAAAAAATGAGACTCCTCTCCTTTGATTTAATTCATATGATCTTAATGTTCGGACGTCACTTCTTGGCTATTATAAGCCGAGGTCATGTTGGCTAATACAACTATTTTGATTAGGAGTGATAACGGTTCAATCGGATGAGATTTGATTTGAATTTTTTTTTAATATTACATGATATTATCAAAATTTAAAATTTGATCCAAATTAAATTTGAATTTTTATTTGATCCAAATCAATTGAATTTTATCAATTTAATTTAGTTTGATTTATTGATTTTTAATTTTGTTTAATTTTTGTATATTATTTTAATATAAAATTTTAATATATTTAAGTAGATTTTATTATAAAATTATTATTATTATTTTAAAAATTTTAAAAATATATAATTCCATTCGATTTTTTTTATTTTTTAATAAAAAATTTGATCAGAATATAATATATATTTAATATTTAAATTTGATTTGAACTAAATAAAAAATTAATTTAAACCAAATCGCACACCAAAATTTCAAATCTGATTTCAGATTTTTTTTTTTTTTTTTCACAATGAATATAGTCTTGTTTTTGCCTATCAGCGGATGGTGCAGTAGCCTCCAATGAAGGGATTAGGAAACAAAGGCCATATGAAAAGGAGATGTCGCGGATAAGAACAAAGCAAGGCCACCCAGTTGCTGTTGTCAAGGAGGTGGAGGCTTCATCTCTCTCTCTCTCTCTCTCTCTCTCTCTCTATATATATATATATATATATATATATATTTTTAACCAACGAAACTATGAAATAAATTTATAGGTATGCTCGTCTATAGTTCAGACAGTTACACTTCACCTCACAACAGTTATCATATATTGTTTAAGAATCTTAATTACTCTTTTGATTTAGTTTTCACCAAGAGATGTCCGAATGAAATATTCAGTTTTTAACCCTTGAATTGCAGGAAATTCTTTTCTTTTTTTACCTAACTTTTTATACCCAAAAAGACAGCAAAGCAAAGTATGATCCTTCAAACAAAAAATTATTATATTTTAGTGGAAGATGGTATAAAGTATGAATTTAGAGTTTATCTCATTTTATTAATATTATAATATTCAAAAATAATATTTAATAAATTTAAATTATAAATTTTAACATTTATAATTTTTTTCTATTTCAAATTACAACCACATTAATAAAAAATATATATAAACCTAAATTCCTTGTTTCTTAAAGTCCACTTATTATTATTCATATAAATGGGCGTAAATATTATCACTTTTTTTTTTGAAAAATAGAAAAAAAAAAATTAAAACAACATAAACCCTTGAACTTTATCATTTTATTTAAATAAAATATTATATTTTTATTGCAGTTAAATAAGTTTTTTATTTTTAATTTATATTTACATAAATTTTAAAATTTTAATTTGATCCAAAATAAACAATTAATTTTTAATTTGCATTCATATAATCTTTTGATCTTTAGTTTTTATTTAAATAAATCCTTAAAATTAATCAAAATTTTGTTTGAAATAAAAGTTTATGTAGATACAAATCAAACAGTGTGAGTTGATTCAAGTACAATAAAAATAAAGGACTTACTTGGAAAAAGAGAATGGTGGAGGGTTCTTTGAGTATTTTAACCAATGAAAATTTGATACAGTGGCATTTAAGAAAATGTAAGCAACACCAGGATGCTTTTGATAACCCCGTCAAACCACAAATGCGTGTTGCTTCCCAAGCTGGCTTTCGTCCCGGAATAAAAACCAGACATCAGACAAACATATAGCGGAAATTGGCTTCAAACACCACTTTGACTTGCAGTTATAAAAATAAACAGAGAGAAGATTTAGACAGAAAAGAGCAGAGAGTTTTCTTTATGTAAATGCATCAAAAGATATCTGGCGAACAGCTAGAGATCGGAAAAGTAAGTAGCGACTGCATCACTTCCGATTTCAACCATACTACTTCCCCACTACTCTTTTACTCTCATCAATTCAATCAAAACTACATTGAATCAACCCCACAAAAAAGTTCTGATTTTTCCATTCCAAACAAGCATCATCTTACCATCCAAATCCCATTCTCACCCACATCACCAAACGCATCACCACCACCATCGCCACCAGCGCCACCATCACCACCAACAACGACAACAACGCATCATTACAAAAAACCCAACTTTCAATATCATGAACCTTCCTTCCCCAATAATCCTTTTCCAACGCATGCTCTTCTCTCAACTCCCCACAAGAGGCCTATGATGACCCACAATTGTCGTTCTCATTCCCCAATACTTCCTTCTTTCAAGAACCACCATAACCACCGCAAAAGGGTTGATAGGTTGGCGTCATATTCTTCTCTTTTCCAATCTTTTTCTTGTTCTACTTATTTTGCTGTTCCTTTTGATACTCAAGAACTTGGTAGGAAACTTGTTCATCATTTGAACCGTGGCCGTTTGCTTTGTATCCACTTACGTTTTCTTGTTTTTCTTTCTCTTCCTTCAATTTACTTCTTGGTTTCGAATCCTTGGCGGTTTTTTGTGTTAAATCTTCTTGCTTTGCTTGCTTTCTCGCTTACCCTTTTGGTTTCTCTTAACCTTGCACTAACTCGATTGCCTTCGATTCGATTACTTCTTGCTCATTCATTACCTTCGAAGTTTAGTCAACTAGGTTCATCATCTATATCTTCAAAAGCTGTTGTTTGGTCAATTGGGTCAAAGCCAAAATCCGAGAAGGCCAATTCGGGGACTTGGGTGCAGCTTTACAGTAATGGGGATGCATATGAGGGTGAATTTCATAAAGGGAAATGTTCAGGGAGTGGGGTTTATTATTACTATATGAAAGGAAGGTACGAGGGGGATTGGATTCATGGAGAATATGATGGTTATGGTGTGGAAACATGGGCAAAAGGGAGCCGATATCGCGGTCAATATAGGCAGGGATTAAGGCATGGAATTGGGGTGTATAGGTTTTATACCGGTGATGTTTATGCTGGGGAGTGGTCTAACGGTCAGTTTCATGGATGTGGAGTGCAAACTTGTGACGATGGCAGCAAGTATGTGGGGGAGTTCAAGTGGGGTGTCAAGCATGGCCTTGGTCATTACCATTTCAGGTGAATTCTTGATCTTTCTTTTTTGGATAGATTAAGTACAGAATGTTATTAGATTTTTATGTTTCCCTGTCTGGTATACACTTGATTATTGAATGTCGGGAAAGCGCTGGAGGTTTGGAACTTTGAATTGCTGTGCTTCTACACCTCTATCTTATTTTATCCGGCTTGTGTTATTCTCATATTTTGATGGTTAAATCTCACATATTTTAATCATTTAGTTTCAGGCTGTAGATATAGAATAGACTTCTTATTTTAGATTATGGAACTAGTTATCACCCAGTGAAGTTGCAGCACAGAGTTCAAAGGACTGTTGACTTTTGAGTTCTACAGCTTTCCTCTTTTCTTTCTCTTTAATCATGTGATACTGGAAGTAATCTGCATTAGTTTTTAACTCAGAGAGTTGAAAAGTGATTTAGGTTTCTTCGCTGTTTAGTTAGTAGTCCTATTCTAGTTATTTGTTGGTATATATCACCAACATCCTGGGCAGTTTGTTGTTGTTTAAAGATTACCAAGATTGAATTTGAGCTTTTGCTTTTATTCTTATCTCCTTGATTCTTATTGGTTTCTTCATTGTGTTTCATGTGTTCCATATTGTTGCTCACTTGTAAATATACTTCCAATCGCCCATTGTAATCTTTTATACATGTCAAAGCCTTGAATGCTGATATTCTTGATGATAAGTCTTTTGTTCAAGATTCACCAAATTGCTTCCTTGTGGGGAGTACTTTAATAGCAAATTATTCTTTTAATTTATTTTATTTTTTATTTGGGGGGGGAAGGACTCAAACCTAGCTCTTTGAGCAGGGGGTAGCAAAGGGATTCATGCACTTACCATTGAGCCAAATGGCCGTGCAGATTGTTCAAACTGTTTGAAATTTACTCTGCAACTTAGAGTCATCATTTATTGGGCAATTGTGGGATACAACGATAGGCCTAAATATAGATGTCAGTTTTAATGACTGATCAATTTTGTAATTCAAATGCAGAAATGGGGACATATATTTTGGGGAATATTTTTCTGATAAGATGCATGGATTTGGTGTTTATCAATTTGGAAATGGACACCGATACGAGGGAGCCTGGCATGAGGGAAGAAGACAGGGATTTGGTACATACACTTTCAAAAATGGTGAGACACAATCTGGTCACTGGCAAGATGGTGTTCTTGATGTTCTTAACGCACAAAACACCCATCTTGGAATCCCCCATGCTGTCACTCAATCCAGAGTCTTTAATGCTGTCCAGGTATAGTTCATATCATTGTCTGCCATTTATGTGGCTTCACTAATAGTTGATTTATCATCCCTTTTCTCTTTGAATAAAAACTTATGCAAGTAATCCTGAGAATATCGGTTGCCTACTATGAGTTCTCTTATAATTTGCTATCCTCTATATACAGGAAGCACGGCAAGCTGCTGAGAAATCTTATGACATTGCAAAGATTGATGAGAGAGTGAATAAAGCTGTGTCAGCTGCCAACAAAGCAGCCAACGCTGCCAGAGTGGTAGCTGTTAAAGCCGTACAAAAGCAAATGCATCATCACAACAGTGATAATCTACCAACTTCAATCGCCTAATATAGGAATATATGACCTCCAAAATGGTGCTTCGGTTTACAAATTCACAATACAGGCATCTTCTTTAGCTGTTCTCTTCAATTTTTGACATTATTCATTATTCCTTCCCGCTATAACAAATGATAACAAGGTACCTGCTTGGAACCACGTTCAGTCATTCAAGAAGATGGTTGATCATGGAGCAAGAGGTTGGCCTTCCCTTTTCCCTTTTTTTCAATGGCTTTACTAATGTATATAGGTTGAGTTTATGAGCGAAGGATGGCACTAAGGTGTGAGCCTGGTACTGCTTGTCTCTTTTTCTTTTTGTTAATGTAATTAGTTGTATTTTCCATATCCTGGAAGTCTGGGTAAACCATCCAGTCCAGCAAGCCTCTTGTGTACTCTGGTTAATGAGAATAACCGCAAGATGTTAACACTCTCTTGAACTCCATTGCTCACCGCACTATCTCTTTTTTCCTTGTTGGATGGGGAAGTGCAGGGTTCATTTATGGCATGAGCGCAAACGTGCGAAGTTGTTAAAAAACTTACCAGCAGTTACTACATTGGCAACACAGGTGACTTCGGTGAGGAAATACTTTCTTTTCGTTGAGATTTTACATTACATTGTATGAAAAATTATAGGGAGATACGGATTTTGTTGAGAATTTTCAACATTTTCTGACTACCGATTCAACAGTATACTTGACTGTGGTGCAATTGGGATTGTCCCAAAATGTGATAGTGGCCTTAACCCACTCATCCTGATATATTCACTTTAACAGGCAGCTACAGGCCTAATCCCATGGAATCCTCATCATAAGCTTCCTTAACAGGTACAACCAGACCCATACCAAGCCCAATTCTTCCAACTCGCAGGACCCAAATTATGCTTCTTCTAGAAGAAGTTCTTCTATAGTGACCCCAACACCCATCTCCAAGTCGCGAGTCAATCTGCAAATAACAAAGTGGATGTCATGTCAAGGTTAAATCTGACGGTAAAGTTCCATCAGTATTTTGGGTGACCGGATCAAAAGTGTGGATGGGATGCTTTTCCGTTTGACGACTCTCAAAATTTGTGACCGACGTTTCAGGGAGCATGGAAACAAATTCTTCCCTTGAGATGTTTGTTTGGATGTGGGCTGTGCTGATTGCATTTTGGGAGTCAACTTGTATGAGCAGAATGACTTCAGAGGGGGCATTGGCAAGTCAAGAACATAATCTTGGATTCTGTAAGCCATCCGAGAATAAAGAGTGGCTTGAATTAGGCTTGGCCTTGGGTCCATAGGGGCTCCAACAATTCCCACGTGAACCTGAGAGGCAGTGGCCTAAAATTTGCCTTGTAGAAACATGGAAATATTGGGGAGAAGTCACAAAGAATGTTTCAGCGTTGTGTGTCGTCTCGAACATCGCTAAACATGCAGGCTGATACTGTATGAATCTAGAATCAAGCAAGGCGATTATAGTGGCTAATGGAAATCCTTCTGTGCCATGGAAGGTTAATCCCAACCGAATGGCTCCAAAACGAACATAAGAGTATCCTTGAGCAATCAACCAACTTGATGCAGATTAACAAGATGATGACGAAAGAAACAACTCACATATGATGACAAAAATAAAGTTTCAACACCAGATTCAGAAATAAAATTGAAAATTAAGCGCATAGCACATCATTGTCAAAAAAGATCTCAACAAGTCTAGCTAAAACATGCAAAACATCTTATGAAAATAGAATATGCCAATGGTAGCTCAGCTCTCAGTTTGCTCCCTCAGCCTCCTAATGGTACTCCTCACTGTTACAGCACTGGCAGTGCTGTTAAATAAAAAATGCAGTAACTAGTTAGTTACTTGGAAATCCAAAGAAAAGAAATTGAAGTGTGAAGAGGTACGATATAGATCCTTACTTCAAAGTATAAGCACCACCGGCTTTCACTTTCCCGCAATCCTTGCAGCCCCATATTCCCACAGCCTTTCTCTTCACTGCATACTGTAGCAGCAGAGTTTATTAAAACAAATACATGCAACTCAAATAAACAAGTGAACCAAAAGACGGAAAAAAAAAACCCATAAGCCTCAGAAGCTATAGGATCAACCAGATAACCAGAAGCATACTACCTTTCCACAGAACTCGCAGAAGTACTTGCTGTGTTGACTGACCTCCATCTTCTTAATTTGCTTCCTCAAACTGGCACCATAACGGGTACCTTCATTAAGAGGCAAAACAAGGAATCAGAAGAGAACGAATTACACCAGGAATCAGAAGCACCTACCATATTTTCCAACAATTCCTGCCTTCTTCGTTCTCTTTGTCTGCAACATCAACAAATGAATGGAGTTAACGAATTACACCAAGAAACAACATAAAACAACTGATCAATAATCACACATGGCAGCAATCAAATCACCCCATATTGCTTTCTTCCTGTTCAACTCTCCACAAAACTACATTACGAGGCTATAACTAAACCAATCCCAAGATATATCTAATTTCTTCTCTAAATTCTAGCCTTTAGATACTAAATCAAAATAATAAACAAATCAGTCAACAAAAATCAAGAATAAGGGACCGAAATTGGCACTAATAAGGCAAACTTATGAATAACCCAAAATTTTTAATATGATTGTTTGGCTTCCTGTGTAAATTTCTTTTGCTTCTATGTTGCATCAGAAATGAAACTTTGAAGCGAAAACATGACATGATGGATAACAATTTTTGTAGAAAGCACTTTCCCAGAAAACAAACACATCTATAAATATATACAAATGCAACAAAGGAAATTTTTTCCAGATATGAAAGCAGAGAGTACCATTGTGGCAAGATTGGGAGGATCTCTGACTGTCTGGTCCGGAAGGTGAGTGGCGGCAATTCGAGAGATAGCAACAAAGGTGAGCTAGGGTTTTCTAATTAGGGTTTTATAAAAACTTGAAATCACCGGGTCAAGACAATCGGGTATGGTCCAACCCAACCTAGAGTCCTACCTTGGAACAAATAAATATCACGGGCCACGCCCAAGTGTTAAATCCGTGATCGAATATGAATGATTGATTTAAAAAATTAAAATGTTAAAAAAACCAAGATAAACATTTCATTATTAAAATTTATAATGATTTAAATTTGAAATTGATCTGATTAAAATTTCTTTTAAAAAAAATCAAATTTACAACAAAGAAAACTTTGAGCTATAATTATCCAAATGTACTTAACTATAACAATTTTTTTCAAAAAACATTATATAACATTTATAACTTCGTGTTCAATCATTTCTATTATATTTTAATATTCTTCATGTATTAAATTAATTTTTTTAAAAAAATTAAAATAAATAAATTTTTTAATTTTTTAAATTAAAATAAAATATATTATATTTAACAATTTAAAATAAATAATTACAAATCGAATGATAAAACTAAAACTCAAAATTTTTTTATAAAAAAATAAATTTTAATTGATTGAAGAACTATTAACGTATTAAATTAAATTTCAGTACTTATTTTCAATGGTAGCAACAAATGAAAAATTCGCATCTCTATCCAACGGATAGGATTATCTAATCATACGCTACAACCGTTAATACCAAATACACAGGAAGAAAACTCATGGGTGGTGGGGCCCCATTACTGAGTCCCTAATTTCCGGTGTAAATTGCCTAAATTATCGCTAATTTTTTAAACCTTCACCAGTTCACCCTCCGAGCCAAAACCCCTCCCCCTCCAAAACGACCATCGAAGCCAAAAAAACAGGGGGAAAAAATAATAATTCTAAAAAAAAAAACTTAAAAAATAATTTAAAATATAAAAAATTGTATGTAGATCACGAGAACACCTTGTATGATAAGCTCTTTTGGATCGGGTGGGGAGGCAATGGCGTCAAACTTTTAAAAAACCTTCCTTTTTTTTTGTCTCCCCCGATCCTTTCCAAAGAAAGAAGCCTTCGCATCGCACGGAATCGGATTTCAAATGTCGTAACATTTTGATTATTTCTTTTGGAAAGATCGATGTTATTTGCTTTCTGATCTGCAATTGAATATTCGCTTCAAATTTTCTGTTCTTGTTGAGTTCTTGTGGAGAATTTACGATTCATTGGCTCGGCATTGTGCCGATCTGATCCGATCCGGATTTTGAATCTGCTGTTTTAGTGCTTTTGCCGTCGCGTCTTTGAATCGTCAATTGAGAATTCATTTAATGCTTGAAGACTGAATTTAAATTGAGAGAGGAGATATTCCGTTTCGTCTAGGATTGAAAGATGGATCCTTTAGCTGCGGTCAGCGAAGAGCTAGTGGAGATCGACGGACAAATCGCCGACATTTTTCGAGCTTTATCGTAAGAAATTAAATTCTTTTATTTTTCTGCAATGTAGATTTTCATCAGATTGTTCTGGTATAAATATTGATTTTTATTATTTCATTGCATAAAAAAACTGAAATATTTTGTCATTTTATCATCATTTATGACTCTATTAGAACTAACTTGAGCTTATGCTAATTACTGATTTCATAATGATTACAATTGTTTCTGCATTGGTTAAAATGTTGTTGTGTTCTCATTGCAGAAATGGGTTCCAGAAACTGGAGAAGGTTAAGGATGTTAACAGGCAGAGTAGGCAATTGGAAGAGCTTACCGACAAGATGCGCGAGTGTAAGAGGTATTTATTTTCATATTCATCCTTCCTTGAAAGCTGTGAAGAAATAAAACGACTCTCACATTATGCTTTTGAAAGGGTATCTTACTGCAGTTTGGATGAATCAGAACAATGATGCTTTGGTTATTCATTTTATAAAGAAAAAATCTAAATTAAAGCACCCACCTGTTCTTGAGTTGATCTCTTCAGTAAAAATTGTGCTTGCTACTCTGCTATGCTGTTGCTGTTATGTTGTTATTTAAAAACTGTTTCTCCTTTCGTTTGAATTAAAATACTATCTACTTATCCTTTTCAGGCTCATCAAAGAGTTTGATAGAGAAGTGAAGGAAATGGAGAGTAGAACTGATGCAAACACCCACAAAATGCTGAATGAAAAGAAGCAGTCAATGGTGCTTTATTACTTTTATTTATTTTTGTTGCTTTTTAGTTAGATATTCTAACATGTCGTCTGAGTACCTTGTGTTCAAAGTTTTCTCAATCTTATGGGATTCTCATGCAGATCAAGGAATTGAATTCATATGTTGCCCTTAAGAAGCAGTAAGTTTATATACCATTAGAAGTTATCTATTTTGTTTATAGTGGAATGAAGCGATAACTTCATGCATGTTCATACTCTTACTAGTTGTAAATAATTTATAATGCATATGGATAGAGTTTATCCTTTTTTCAGGGTTACATACCCCTTCCCCATCTCCCTTCCAAATTCTCTCTTCTTTTCCTTTTAACCTTTTCTTTCGATCTTCCTTGCGAACTTGTGCCAGTAAACTAAAGTTGTTATTGATTGAAAATTGGTAATTTGTTAAGGTAATTACTACAGATATCATGCAATAATAATTCCACTGGTATCGATAAGAGCCAATTATCTGTTAAATGTTCTGTTTCATTGTATTGATGTATAATTTGGCTTTGTTTGACATTGTTGTACTTGTGTTACAGACATCAAAGCAATCTTGAGAGCAACAAACGAGTTGATCTCTTTGATGGGCCTAATGAAGGCTTTGGGGAAGAAAATGTCTTGCTAGCTTCATGTAAGTATATCAGCTTTTCTGATTTTAGCTGATTTGTATATGTGGAAGTTCAAGTTGAAATTTTGTGTTAGACATCGTGCTTTCATAATCAGTGTTCTTTTCTGGCATTGATAGTATACACAGATGCACTAACTCTTTTGCACCAAATATTGTCTCCTTTATTTTTCTTTTCCTTTTAAGTGTGGCCATAAGCCCATAACAATTCTCACTTTCTTGTTTTGTTTAGAGTGATTATGTAATGGTAGTGGTTTTAAGATGTGCCAGTAATTTTGTGCTAGTGCTAGAATATAAGTTGTCAAACACACTTAATCTGACAAGGAATGAGAGCCTTGACAAAGAAACCTCTGGTCATTTGATTGAACATTATCTTGGACCTTATAAATAAAATCAACTTGGTTGTAATTGCACTGCAGCTATGACAAATCAACAGCTAATGGATAGAGGAAATCAGATGATGGATGAGACTGATCAAGCCATTGACAGGGCTAAGAAGGTTAGTTTAAACTTTTGCTGTATCAGATCTGTAAAATATCCTCCATCTTTCTCTACTGTGAAATAATTGGTTGTATTTGGAGTTTTAGTTCTTGAAATTTTTTTTTTATGTTAAACTTAAAGCCAACAAAAGGCAAGAAGTCTTGGGATGTACCTCCTCTTAGCTCAATTCCCCCCATGTCATTAACTTTTCCTGATTTCTAGGGCTGTTGAAAAATGAAGACTAATTTTTGCCTGTCCCTTGTTTATAATAGGTTGTTCAAGACACTGTCGATGTAGGAACTGAGACTGCTGCAGCTCTCAAGGCTCAGGTACATAACTTGAAAGCATTAAGAATTATCAACATCATGGCATTTTGCTATATCTTAGGTTCAATTATCTGTTTTACTCTTTGGTTGTATTAATCTTTTGAGATTCTACAGTGATATTCATACTAAGATATGTTATTTCTGTCATATTTAGACTGAACAAATGAGCAGGATAGTTAATGAGCTGGATTCTATACATTTTTCAATCAAGAAAGCATCTAAATTGGTCAAAGAAGTTGGTAGGCAGGTCCATCTCTGAAACATCCACTTCCTTTCATTCATATACACTCTTTAGCATTAAATTGTATTTACTAATTTTATTTTCCTTCTGGACACAGGTTGCTACTGATAAATGCATTATGGCATTGTTGTTTCTTATTGTCATTGGTGTCATAGCCATCATAATCGTGAAGGTACTATATTTCTCAACCTCGCTCCAAAATCGACTTCTGAACTAACATCTTACCTTTGATTGTGTGTAACTGGCTGACAATTAGAAGCAGTTTTTCTAGATTCAAAGTTCTACAGTGCCATGTGAAAAGCCGCCTATGTTAATTTATCTTCTCTGTTCACATGGTGTATATAAGTCTGCTCAATTATTGGGTTTCCTTTTTCAGCTTGTGAATCCAAACAGTAAGGACATCCGAGATATTCCAGGATTAGCACCACCGGCAATGAACCGACGGTTACTTTGGACTCCTGATTGAAGAGTTAGAATGAACCATCTGATGATTTGTCAGGATTTTTTGCAGCCACATTGAATTGAAGAATCACCAGCTATAACCCCGGTGGCTACAATAGTTGGAGAACTGATATGGTTGTGGAATTGATCTTATTTTACGATAGTTTTGGTGAATGCATGAAGAGTTTGGCAGAACTTCCCACGTGCTACCCCCAGGACATTTTTCTTCCTAGACTGAAGAAATTAACCCCGTACACGAGAGGGAAGGTTATGTATTTGAGAGCGCATTGGTTCGTAGCATACCTTGTATAATATAACACCTGCATGATTCTTTATTTCTTTTACTCTCTACATTGTTCTGGATTTTCGATGTAGTGCTTTTATTTCTACCATTGAGTTATTTTAGATCTGACAATTTAAAATTAATAAAATTTTAGTAATAATTATATATAAATTTAATAAAATAAAAAAAATATTTTATAATTTCGTATTTATATAAATTATGGTATACAACTTTCGTATAAAAAATAATATAAATATACGAATTTCAATAATCAAATCATCAAATCTAAATTATTTAGTCAAACCTTTTGAAAAGCTTGGAAAACAGATGTCATAATTCAGGCATCTGCCTTTTCTTTCAGCGTCGTTATGGAAATCCTCACAATTTGTTGAAAAGTAGATTTATTTTCAACTAAGCAACAAAATAAAATAACTTTCAAGTCTAGATTTTTTGCTTGGTTATGAATCTGTGAAATTGGGGTTGACACAATAAAAGTGTGTCATTATTGTGTTGGAGCAACGCGAATTCCTGCCATTGGAAAATGACTATGATCGTCTAAACTAATTGGGCTAGGGCCTTTTATCAATTGGGCGGAAATGAAATAGCAACAACTGACAAACGAGAATATTGTGAGCCCAGTTACGGCCCAATCATATTTTAATAAAACCAAATCGGCTTCAGAAGGCAAAAAAAAAAAAAAAAATGGAAAAAACGTTCACTCTCATTCAAACGGTGGCCACGGCCGGCGTCTTCTCCGCCGTTTCTTACTGGTAGCTATCGCTCTAGAATCTCCATCTGTCAAAGTTAGAATATTTTTTTCATGTTTTTCAAAATCTTTGATTCAGGTACGGATTCATGTTTGGCAGAGAATCGGCTCGTAAAGAACTGGGAGACTTGATCGAAAGCCTTCGCCGCAATAATTCAAACTCCTCTTCTTCATCATCTCCCCCGCATTCTTAATCGGTATTTCCCAGTTCTCTGACTTTGAGAATTTTCTATCAAATGTGATATAACTGATTGACAGCTTCGTTTTTTGTTTCTTAGTTGTAAGTGGGGGTTTAGTTAGAGGAAAGTTGGCTACTTTCCAAGGAATTTAATCAATGGGAAGGAGATTCCCACGTTTGGTATGCCACCCACATTCCCACGAATGTGATTTTACCACGGGGATGTGGGAAAGTTATGAAATTTTTTGCAGGTAAAATTGCGATTAGGGCAGTTACTAAATTGAAACCCTAGCCGCCCCTCATTCCCCTTTTTTGCTAGTGGGAATTTGGCAGGACAAGCTGGCTGGAAACGCTACTCTACCTTATAGAGAAACTTGGTGAGAGATGTCAGGATCTAGGTGGTTGATCTTGGTAAATTGGTCATTGTTTCGAATACATGGCTGATGATGCAGCAAGGAAAAGGAAAGTATATGGTGTCATATCTAAGATTGAACGACTTACGGAGGAAGAGGCCATAAAGGTTGGAGCTATTATAACTTCTGATACTGCAAAAACCAGTTACCTTTTTTCAGTTCCTGGTCATTCTGAAAAACTTTGTGAGGATTCTACATGGTGGATCCCAGTAGATATGTTTTGGTTTTGGACATTGGATCCATGTATTATCTATTAACTGCTAAAAAATTTGTACTTTAGTACTTTGATATTTTGTTCCAGCTATTAACTGCTAATTAGGAACTTCCGGTTTCATTTCCTTTGTGCAAATTTCCTGCATGAGGTTGTTTCATTTGATTATTGACTTTGAAATTTGTTATCCTGTTTTTCTGCTCCTGTCTCAGTTGAAATTTCTCCAACTCACTGCATCTTTTATATGGCAATTTCTGAATGTCTTTTCTCTTAAAGTTGAATTCCAAGAGTTGATACATGAGGCATTTTTACTGGTTTAGGATTCAGGGATTTAAACTAAGTATCTTGATGAATGTCCAAATTATAATCTTTTCATCTGCTTTGTGGCAAATTCAGCTGCAACATGGAAGCATCAAGGAGCTGTGAATGAATGACTTTCCTCCTCAAGTCTTGGAACTTGCCAAAACGAGGCATATCGGCAACATAGTTAGGAGTGCTCCCTTGGACTTCTCTGGCTGTGTATTTCATGTGTTGTACTTTCTCTGTAGAAAATTTTTGTAACGATTCGACATATTGGGTTCATTATGTAAAACCTTTCTTCTATGGTTGAAAGAATTATTGGAAACAAACTAATTTAGGTGTACAATTTCAAACAAAACACATTATGGAGCAGCTTAACAATACATAATTGTGTTTGATAATAAGTGCCTTTGGCCATTGTTAAGTTACTGAATAGGTTTTTCAAAGTAGGGCAGGTTTTCATGATTCAACCATAGTCTATAACTTTTTCTTCTATAAATAAATTAAAGAAAATGATCAAATTTATCACTCTGCTATGTTGGGGTTTTATATTTACTGGTCACTGGTAAATTAAATAGTAAATATGAAGCGCTAATGTAGCAGAATGATAAATTTTATTTTATTTTTTATAAATAAATTATTCTGAATTGCAAACAAAATGATTCTTTTGTTAGGAGCATGTTGTAATTTTGTGAATCTTATGATTTATTGTGTCCAGGTTTTTGATGTTCCCCTCATTGTAGAAGTAGCACAATTTTTATCAAGTGTCTGCCAAATTATAGGTACTTTGAAGAATGCTTTATGTAGCATTTGAATGCTCCAAATTGGCCTTTAAATGTATTGGAAACGTAATCAATAAAGTAGAAATAAGGACATTTATAATTTTATTTTACCAAAAAAAAAAAAAATCTATAAGAGTTTTAGAGCTCTTTTGGATTGGTTAAAATGTTACTATGCAAAATGAATTGGACTGATTCAACCTTCATGGCTAGCCAAAACAATTGGAAGAGAGAAAAAAAGATGTTAGCCTAGATTGAATGAAATCTCCATATAATTTATGCAGATGCAATCATTTTATTTTGATTTTACCCATCTGCTATTTTGGCATATGATACCAACAATTATAGTGCATCTAGAATATAGTCCTTGCTCTATTTTGCATTTTTTTTTAGCTTATATATTGTTGTATGTGGACTCTGTACATAGTTTCTATACAAGAGCAGCCTCCTTCATTTTCTCCACATTCTTGTCACTGATAAACCCAATGTAAAGGTTTGTCCCCTGGGAGTCACACTCTGAAATTTTCCTACCTCCTTCGGACATGGTTTTCACAAATTCCACCAAGTGCCGCCAGTTGTCCCCTTCAAACAACCTTTTGTTCATTCTTAAATATGTAAATGCACTCAATCCGTTGCCTGAATCTGATCTACTTGTTGCCAAAACTTGTGCATATCCACCAGCATCATACCTCTCCAGTGCATTTTCTCCAGCAAGCTCGACTCTAGCTGTCTTTGTTGCCATCTTTACTTGCCGAACTAATCCCTCCGGTGAACAGTTTGCATACTCAGGTTGTTCCTCATCTCTCATTTCCATGCAGGTGAAGTTGAACACAACTCCATGTTTACTAAACATTTGTGCAATTGGGAGGTAACCATCTCGAAATCTTGTATTATAATACCCTGCTGTTAGTTCAGCAGCATGAGACCTTGTTCTGTAATGCCAGTGAATTCCAGCTATCTTTCCAGACAGTTTTGCTCCAGTTCCATGGAATGTTCCTTTTGCTGCTGCAAGTATTCTATCTCCATGCTCTAGTAGCTTTCCAGAGTACCACTCTAGGAAGAACTGTCCATACTCGGTGTTCCATGTTCCATCCCTTCGGAAAAACCCAGTTTCTTCAGGAAGTTGTTTGTAGTGGCCAGAATCATGTGGCCCGCTTTTTCCCCAATCTTTCTTCCCAATGGCTTCTGCTGCTGCTTCAAGTGAAGCTCTCATATACTGTTTCAAAAGACTTGTTTAGGATTTAGGAGCAAACAATCTAAGTTTATATCTCATTCGATATTGCTATTGTGTCATTTTGTTCCCAAAAGGTAATACTAAAAGGGAAACTTCGTTTTAGTTCATCAAATTCAGTAATTTACCTTGTCATAGCACTGAAACTCTCCAATTCCGGGAAAGTTCCATGTTCCATTGCTTTCTGGATAAGCTGGGTATCTCAGCTCCCCACAAGGGCCCATCCCTACTTGAATTTCCTGAAATAGAAATTGCACTTGAGATTTCTAGAGTTTGTAATTTGTCCAAAAAAATGTACCACTTGAGTAAAGAAATAAAAGTGCATAAAACTTGATATTGATGCTTTTAAACATGTTGTTAGGGGCCTGTGGTCCATCAGTTGAATGGATTTCAGACTCTAATCGGAACCGATGTGTGATATGATGCAGGCACCTTTGTTTCGTTCCTTTTGTGATTAAATTCCCTTTTTTTTTTCTCTTAGCCTTTTTAGTACATCCATTCACATTGAGAAAAAGATTATCCTATTACTTGAAATTATTACAAAGATCTCTAATCCACTAGAGCATGTAGAGTTACATACTAATTACTAGTATTTCATGAGATCTTGATGTTGAAAGTATCCTATGTCCTGAACTATAGCATCAGTATAGTTTGAGATTTATAGATGCTTACGACAATAACTCGTCCCAAGTAATCTCTGAACCTCTCCCTGAAGCTCCTCATGTAATCTGTGTAAGCCTGAATTGGTGTTCTTCCTCTGAGAACCGGCATCGAGTCACAACCCAAGGAAATGTATTCAGGATTCCTCCGCCCTGACCTATCAGTGTAGACAAGGTCTGGGTTCTTGCTGATTTCTTCTAGCACCCATGGAGGTAGAGGAATACTAAAAATTCAAGCAGAAAAATTTTGGTTTATGTTTCTATAACCGTCTTTTGCTAAGTAAGAATTTGAAGATAATACATATTCTTTGACAGTAGAGTTGAAATACAAAACGTGAAGTAATACCTGCAAGAGTCTCCCACATTCCCTCCGCACTGATGAAAAGACATGACAACTTGGAGCTTTAGACCGTGCTTTTCGACCATTTGGACAAGCTCAGCATACCCTTCCCAGTTGTACTTTAAAGGTCCATCTTTCTCTACCAAACCCCACCAAGCATCCACCATAACTCCTTCCACGCCTGCGCTCTTTAAGGCCATCAAACTGGCATTCATTGCCCGTGGCTTATTCAAGTTACCTCCTAGAGTTATTGTGTCAAGTGGCAACATCACAAAAACAGGCACCTTAGAGTTATTTCCATCATGGGAAAATGTTAGACCATGTAACTTCTCCCTTTTCTCACTATTCCTCCCTTCTGTGATTGAGATTTTCCCATGTGACAGCTGTGCTTCCTGCATCGACATCGACATCGACATCGAATTTCTTGCTCGGAGTCGGCATGGTGGCTTCATTTGAGCAAAGCAAATGGTGCCTAAGAAATCATCAGGAGTTTTGAAGCTTTTGGTTTCTTTTAGATTAATGAAAGAAGTAGAAGAACGTAATGGTAAGGCCATGTTTCTATTTGCTGTTCTGGGAAATGAAGAGAGGGAAAGGAGAGGTGGGAATAAATGAAGATGGCTTGCATTCATTTATAAAAATGAAACTTTGGGTTAAGCCTCTGAAGAAGACAATGTTGGTGGGCTGTGTTTTAAAGGGGAAAAAGTGCAAAAGATCAAAACAAGTAACCTCAATTTTTCCAGGTCATATTATCCAAGACGCGGTTATTCCTCGTCCATTCTTAACAAACAGAAGATCCAACACCAAGTGTAAGTTTTCAACGGTCACCAATACACACATTTTGAGTTGGCAGAACTGCCCTTGAGTGTTGGTTTTGTTGATTATTTGGCTATTCAAGGTCATATTATCCATACATTGGTTGTTCTTTCCTGAAATCAAGTTGTCAAGAGCAGGGTGAAATATCTTCAGAAGAGATAGTTTCAACTAACTGACAGGTTTTAACCAATATTTTATTCACTTCTAAATGGTAGTGAAGTGAATTTTCTCTATATATTTTCTTCAGTTACGTAACAAAATCATACTCAGCTATAGGAATAATATTAGTCGTTGAAGCAACTAGGTATGGTATTACAATTTATGCAATTTATTTTATCATTTTATCAGTTTAGATAGCATAATGAATTTGTGTACGGTGATTTATATTATTAGACAAACAATTTTTGTATTTTGAAACCTATAAATTAATGAAATAAAACTCATAATATGTGAGTCAATTTATTACAATATCAGATTAATTTTTTCATTTTTTTTTTGTTCTTCTTTTGCTCTATATCCTTTAAATGAATTTGCTAATGGCCAGTGTCATGCTCATAGAAAGGAGCTATAAATTCCACATCCGTTGTGTAATAGAATTGATCTTGAGATATAAATGTTCACATTACTTTCAATTTGTAAGATGTTTTTTATGGAATAAAATCATGAGGTCCAAACAAGATTAAAGCAGACAAAAAATCATAAATTGAGAACAAAATGAACAATATTTCATGAGTTGGTATAGAAGATGGTGGACTTTTGTTGGAGTGGAAAGGATCTCATGATCTTAAAGAGAAGCCATAAATCTCACATTGGATATGTGCTAAATTGATAACAAACAATATTTCAACCGTGACAAACGGCCTGGTGATACTTATTGTTGGTAAAAATAACTGTAATTTTAATTTTATTATAAACTTTGTCGATCAACCGATTGTATATTAGAATTGATCTTAGGATATAAATGTATGACAAACAAGTTTTATGACAAACTTTATTAATCTTACATAGGCATGGTCTTAAAGAGGAGATATAAATCTCACATCGACTTTATGCTAAAATTAATAACGGACAATGCTTCAATCGTGACAAACAGTATGATGATACCTGTTGCAATAATTGTTATTTTAATTTTATTACAAATTTTATCAATCTCATATTAACTGTGTATGAAAATTGATCTTAAGATATAAATGTGTGACAAATAGATTTTATTACAAATTTTGTTAATCTCTAATAAGCTGTATGCTTGAATTGGTCTTAAAATATGAACGTGTGACAAACAGTCTTGTAATACCTGCTGCCGGTGAAAGTAACTGTAATTCTGCTAATTTTATTACTAACTTTGCCTTGATCCAGAAAACTGCAAACTTAAAAAAGTTAGCCTGTCCTTGATTTGTGTTCTGTACTACCTATTCAATTTCTGTGGCTAAAAAGTTCTTAGGATTTCAATTTTTCTTGGCTTTGATGGGTTTTGTCTAGAAATTTGGAGTGTCTGTTTTCCATTGCGAAAACATGAGACTGTGATCTTATCCAAACTTGGAACTGCTCCATTGATTTACTATATATGATTATGCTAACATTTAATCAAGTAGTTCCATCAAAATTGTTAACCTGATCAATGCCGTGTATTTCTTGCTGATAGGATCGAAGGTCGTCCATGTCACTCACGCGTAGGCGAGGCCTATCAGTTATTGTCTTATATTCCCAGCCACCATCGAGTTGAATTTTGAAAAACATATGACTGATGCCTTTTAGGAGTAATATCAAAGGCCAATCATTCAGGGGCCGAGTACAGATTTCTGATGACTGAAGGCAAGCATGGCATGCGTTTTCTTTCTTAAACCTCGAACAAAAATTGTAATTGATCCTATATTGTACTACAGCATCCATGTGAGAACCATGCGTATGGAAGAGTACGTTACTTCATTTGCCTTAGAAGGGCGAACAAATGCAGGCAATGAGATGTCGATTTGTCGATGGCAAAGAGGAAGAAAGAGAATTGAGCAGACCTGTCTTTGTTTCAATGGTAATATAATTACGAATCTCTCATACCCAATTGATATCGATGGTTTGGTGTTTTATTCAGGTGAAGACTGAAGACTACTGAGCTTACCTGTAGGTTAGCCAATCACTTCTCACTTTTCATGCTCACCATTACATACTTTCGTGGAGCAAATTAGATCTTATCTCTTCAAGTTTCTTGGAGTGGGCCATATTTTCCCTTGTCTATAGTCTAGAAACCAAAGAGGATCGAACTTGTTTGCCAGGATGACATCACATTAAGTCATTAATCAACCTGTGCGTATAAAGTTCTTTTAACTTTTTTCCCTTTTTTTTTGTTTTGATCCGGTGATTGAGCTACACAATGGGGTATCTCTCTTCTCCTTTAAACCCTCCATCCATGCCTGCTAAAAGTTCATATTTCGTTGAAATTGAACAAAGAAAGTCTACAAGCAAACAAAACAACCTCTCTTTCCAATATTTCAGGCAAATTGAATGCATAATTGGGAAGAAGAATGATCAATTTCTATTGGTGGATATAAGTCTTGCTTAATCCATCAAACACACACATTTTGAATTCAAAGGATCAATTTTCATTGGTAGATATATATCTCTCTTTCTCTCTCTCAAGGAGAATCTAGTTTCATTTTCATGAGGACAAATTGATCATCTTCCTATACTTTCTATACACGGTGTTTTGGGACATGCCAGGAAAAATGATCCCAGTTGCCTACTGTTTTCACACTCCTAATTTCAAGTAGCCGTTGTCCTGTTCTGCTCACAATCAATCCAAAGAAGGTCCCCCACAAATTTCTCATTTCCCCTGCTTTAACATTTGCTTGTGGTTCTCTATTGCTGAAACGTATCCATTTCAATCCCCCCCCCCCCCCCCACACACACACACACAAAAAAGAAAAAAGAAAAAAAATCCCTCACTGCCCTTTCATTTCCTTGGCCATGCAAGTAATGATCGTAAAAAAATTGAAGAATTCTCTTGAGCATGTGCTAGAAAAGTACAATTTTTTTGTTTGTGAAAGCGAAAGAAAATTTTCTTTTTCAAAAAAGAAGTATAACTGCAAGTTAGGTGTGTGATTCTTACGTTTGGATGTCCAAACTTGTACGATACTGTTAGGACTTTGCTCCTACAAAAATGTGAGTAAGCAACAAAACTTGGTTACCTAAATATTTTTTTTCTTTTCTCCAGAGGACAGTTTTATTAGGCATATAACAAGTCAATGAACAAAATATCTTGAAATCTCTGAGATAACTATTTCAGAAATTGAAGAAAATTTGAAAATGATTGAATTAACTAAACAAGTTTAAAATTCCCATAGTGATGTTCATTTCTTAATATAAACCCAACGTTGCCATAACACACTTAGCAGTTGCAGTTTGTCTGTTTATCAATGTGTAATCTTCTATCACATATGTTTTGGTAACTACATTAACGTCATCCGGTAAAACAGAATTCATGGAAACTTGACCAAGCATGTTTGAACCATGAACTATATACCTTGTGGGCCTTGTGTTTGTACTGGGTATCAAGATATCAATAGAAAATGGTGGATAAGTTTTCTGTGAAATATCATAAGCAGACGGTTCACCTAGAAACATGTTATGAAAAGAACAGACTTGCTGTCATAACGGATATTTCCACGAAGTTTTGCGTTCTCAAAATAATAGCTCTAAGAAAAGAAAGGGGTGATAGCACTTCCCCTAGAAATATCTGAGGAAGCTTCAGAAGATATTTGTGAGCAACTGATAATGGCTGTTTAGAGCACTTTTCCTTCTACATAGAGGGCACTGAACTTGTGATTTTTTTATGATACAGAATCCTAATTCAATTCAAAGTTTTCTGTACCTGTCAGTATCACAAGTCAATTCCCCCACTGATCAAAATTTTGAAGTTTCTGTGTCTTAAAGCATCTCTAAGCAATTTTGCACCCACTTAAATATATTTTCTTCTTTTCTCTTGCATGTACAGCAAAACCTTAGAAGAGAGCACAAAATGCAGCAGCTGAAGAGAGGAAACAGGAAAAAAGTTGAATTGGAACTTCTCTTCCAAATTGTCTGCAATATCAGCATGCCATGGAACAGAGATTGAAGATGAAGAGACTTACAGTTTCCCCACATTTTCAGGGTAATATATAACCTTGATAATTAAAACTCCCTTTTGCATCAAGGGAATGCTGGAAAATCAAATACAGCAATAGCAATAACACCTGCAGAGAAAAAAAAATGCTGTTTTTTATTTGGATGAGAAATGCAAACCTCTACAAGATCAACTTCTCAAACAATAAGTGTATTCAGGAATCCATGGGACAAGGGTCTACAATGCATTACTCTATTCAATATTTAAATGCTTCACGATTTAAACAGGATATTAATATCAACAATGCTCCTCTTTTATTGCAACAACTTCAAAAAAGTTATTTAGGATTAAATAATTTAAGAAAAAATTGAAATTGAAAACTTGGACTAAAACAAAAAGGTTTTTGAACAATTGAAAAAAAAAAGAATTACTTCGATGAGAAGATTAAAATGGTATTTTTATCTTATTATATTTTAGTTTTTTTTTGTCGGTTTATAATAATCTCTATAGATTTTATATGTTCTAAATGCTAACTGATTAATTTGATGTGACAATAAATTACAAGCTCCAATCTTTATAAATTTTATACGCTCCAATATTTAGGAGTGTTCATAATTTAATTTTAATCAAATTAATTGATCGAATGAATTTAATTCGATTAATCGATCGGTTATTAAATTAATTTCGATCAATTAATAGAAATAATTTTTAAAAAATTTTGATTTTCGATTAATTCGATTCAAAAATAGAATTAACTAAAATTTTAACCAAAATATAATATAATCTAAATATAAAATAAAAAATACATAAAATTGATCATTTAATTTTATAACTTGTTAAAGTTTTTAACATAATACTTTAATATTTGAATTTTTTATTAAATAATTTTATTTAATTTGTTTAAATATATGAGAAATTTAAAATTTAAATATAATTTAATTTAAATACATTTTTTATTCAATTAACAAAAAAATCAATCGAACCGATCTAATTAAATTCGATAAATTAATTTTTAAAATTTATAAATTCAATTTAATTAACAAAAATAATTAATATAATCAATTAATTTAATTTTAAATAATTTAATTTAACTTTAAACGAACCAACCTAACGACTACTTCTACACCGACCGAACACCTCTATCAATCTTTATAGATTTTACACGCTGCAAACACAATCACAAACTTTAAGGCTTTAAGGGCCATAAATTTTGTAATCTTGGGCCCTACCAAGCCTAATTTTGATTTGCTTTGCATACAATAGGCAGTTTTGGGTCTATTGTATAAACCCAATTCATTGAAAAGTGTCAAAATTGGGCCCATAGTCAAGACTCTTCTTCCGTTGGTCCGACAGATCGGCGGTCAGATTTTCACCGGTAAGCAAAATTTTCTTTCTTTCTTCAGTTTTCTTTGTTTGCATAGAGAAAGTTTTGTAGGTGTTCAAGTCATAAACCGAATTTTTAAGTTGATTTTAGTGATTCATAGATCATTATTAATCTTGATCTAACAAATTGCCTGTGATTTTCATTCTAATTTGTCAGCTCAATTCCTATTTTTCTCTCAAATTTTGAAATTATTGTAATCTTATTTTCCTTTTACAATTTTAGTTGAAAATTTTGATAAAAAGAACATATAGCTCGTAATTGCTTTTTTTGTTTGTTTTGGATCCGTCTTTCTAACTTGGGTTAAAATTGTTTTTACATGGCTTCCAATAGGATCGGATTTCGAAGCAATGGACAAAATGAGTACTCTAGAGTATATCAACCAGATGTTCCCCACAGGTAACTCGTAAAAAGTATCATTGAAAATCTTAAAACTGTTAAATTTCAACAGGATTTGCTAGAATTTAAGCCTTGGATGCGATCCCCAAGTTATGAAAATAGGTTAATAGATTAGATTTTATCTTGTTACGGCATTGACACTGGCGTATTTTGTTTGATGCTCAGAGGCTTCTTTGTCTGGTGTTGAGCCATTAATGCAAAAGATACAAAGCGAGATTCGTCGTGTGGATGCCGGAATATTGGCTGCAGTTCGCCAACAGGTCATAAATGTTTCTTATTCATTTACAAATCCTATTGTTTTTAGAGGTTTTGCATTTCACTTATGTGAAAATTAAATTTCATGAGAATTTATCAAACATTTCAATTTCAATTAAGGAGATGTTGCAGTTTGTCTTTGGGAAAGTTGAGGAACTGTAACAAATGATCAGCTATTTTGATTGCAGAGTAATTCGGGAACCAAAGCTAAGGAAGATCTTGCTGCTGCTACACATGCTGTGGAGGTTAGTTCTTGGAATTTTTCAGATGCTGTCAATGATATCATTTACCTTGTTTGTATCAATCCTTCTATATATTAGCATTTCTTTAGGATTTTGGTTGCATGACTGAGAAAATAATTATGCCTTTTTGTTTAACCAATAATGACTTGGAAAAGAATATGAAAATTTCATCAGCCCCTTTTTCCCTTTTTGGTCCTTTTCTTCTTTCTTTTGAACTCGTATTGTTTTGTCTAAGCAGGAACTAACATATAAAATCCATGAAATAAAAACAAAAGCTGAGCAAAGTGCGATGATGGTTCAAGAAATATGTCGCGATATCAAGAAGCTGGACTTTGCTAAGAAGCATATAACAACTACAATTACGGCTCTTCATCGTCTGACCATGCTAGGTCAGTCTTCTTTCTTTTCTTATTCTTTTTGGGTCTTCTTTATTTGTGTTCATTTGACACCCAAGTCTGAGCAATGTAGTTAATGATCAGTAGAAAAATATGCTTCCATCAGACTATATGGGTTCTAACATCCAGCTGACCTCAGTTATTAAAATGCATGTCTTTTATATAAATTCTTACCATAACACCTTTTTCACTTCATGGCAGTCTCTGCTGTAGAGCAACTTCAAGCTATGGCTTCAAAACGACAATATAAGGAGGCAGCTGCCCAGTTAGAGGTATGTTATTTCTATGGAAGCAAAGA